ACAGAAAAACCTTCAGTCTGAAGAACAGAGCTGAACAGCTACATGCAGTAAATTAAGGGACTTTGAAACTTGAAATTGTTGTTTTGTCTGTAGTTTGTAAGTATGCTTGCTATTTGGCATAATAGTTAATCCAGCTAAAGTTTTAATAAGTATTAAAGGAATGTGATCTGTAGATTACTAAAATTTAAACTACATTAGCTGACAACTAAGGGTTAATTAGCTATTGCTAGTTTTGCCTCCTTGCATTTGCTGCTTTACTGAAGGTTTTTCTTTAATGAAAGACTCGTTATGTGATGCTGTATTGAACGTGATGCTGTTACACTCTGCGAGAAGAACGACATTACGGTAATTCATGCTTTTCACTTTTCCTGATTTCTGCCTCCAGGCCATGGATGCAGCTTGTGGTTTTCCCATAACTAGCTCCAGGGCCAAAGCAAGTTTACCTTTCCTGTCACTCTTTTACCATTTTTCATTTTCCACAAGGATAAACTGGACTGAAATGTCAGCATGTTGGCATTTATTGCCGATAGTTCACTTATTAAAAAAAGAGAAAGTGACACCAAGAAGAAACAACAAAAACAGAGCATTTTACATCACAGCAGTGACTACAGTTTATTTGGCTGAAATTTTGTCCTAAGTCTTAAGTGTTGAGCCAGTAAAGGGTGCATCTGACTCAAGTACCCATCTCTGGAAGTCTTTAAGGTGAAAATTTGAAGAAAATAAATTTAATTTACATACTTTTCTTTTGCAAAATTATGATGATTAGCCTAGACATATGAGCTATAAGACTAATGTAGTAAACACATCATGAAGTTTATAGCCCCCTTAGCATAGTGCTAACCGCTCTAAATCATTGCACACTTCTGCATCAGGTAATTTCATAGACTAAAGTACATTGCATAGCTAAAATAGTATTAGCAGCTATCCTGAAGTCTGAATTTTGTCAGTGCATTGTCTATTTTGCATTTGCAATCTTCCTAAATGGTGATATTTGTAGAGTAATGTTTGAGTGAAATGTAATAGCCTTAATTTCTTTATGTGCATGTTACTGGTGTCACAATACATCAGCGTTAAGATGTTTGATACAATGCTATTATTTAAAACCATTACAGGCCTCATAACTTAAATATATACCCTTTGTCTTGAGGACAAAATAGAGTACAGCAGGCTCAGACAAATGGTGCAAAATCACTGTTTTGCACTGAAATATAAGGCATTTTTTACTTCTTTGCACATTTGGTAATTTGAGTTTTTTAGAAATCAATTCTAAATGCTTTTAAGCCACAAGTGTACAGAAAATAAAGCAGCAATGCCCTGCTTGTGGAAAATAAGGCCACACTCTGGGTAAATTTAGTGACTATGGAGGTTAACAAGGTCAGAAGTTATTTTGGACACAATGGGCTGGTGCCAGCTAAGCCCTCCGTTTCACCCTGCAAGTCCATGCAAATGAAAAGACTGTTGTCAAATGGTGGTCCAGTGACAGGACTGCAGTAAACCTGTCTAATCTATGTCTGCGCCTCATTGATTCACAGGACTGCAGCAGCCAACTGATAAAACAACCACGCTCACTTTGTCTGTCTGCTAATGAGAATGAATGAATGGTGGAAACTCATTGGCTCAGAAGAACCAAAGTGTGAAAGGCAGATCATGGAATTTCTGAGCATGCTGATATTCAAGCTTTGCAAGGCATGCATGATCCCATAATCCAATATAAAATTTAAACAAGGTACAGTACAGATCTCTATTCACAATACATAGGATGAGCCATTGGTATGCCAAAGTTTATGGAAGTGAGATGACAGTTATGTACCATGTCAAATGTGTTGGTGTTAAAGAGGAATTCCATCAAACTTTTTAAAAAATTCTGTACAGTTCAATTGTTGAGAGGTAAACAATATTATTCAATGTGATTCATTGGTGCGTTTTAGAGAAACTTACCAGCTTAGATTTTTTTTTTACAGTGATGGGGTCATGAAGTCTACAATGAAAACACATCAGATTTATTTAACTTCCAAAATGACAAGTAGGCTAAATCTACACATCTTCTGAGTTTTTATACATAATGTTGATGCTGCTAAAATACTACTAATTTTCTTTGGGTACTACTTTGCCTCACAATACCCTTCATGTACCTCTCCACTGTTAGTGTACTAAAATAATTAAAAATATATTTTAGCCAAAACGTTCTCAAAACTATTGCAAAACAATGTATTCATTCAAAAGGTAGGTTTTAGATGCATTAAATGCTAAATCTGGTTCCTGTCACTACCACTGTAAACAATTCTTACTCTGCAAGTTTCTCTAGAACAGAACACTTCCCATCAAACCACTCTGAATTACTTTGTTTACAACTCAATTTTGCAGAACTTATTGTTGGAATTCCCTTAGCCTCCATTTAAGGAGTTCAACATTGTGAATCACTTCAAACTATGGAGGAAACTCCCATGAAGGAAAGCAAGCATAAGCGTGAACGGTTTTTCATGTTCTGTATACCACAATCCTGCATTTCTCCAGGCCCCATTCAGCCATACCCTCATAAAGGTTGACTAAAGCGATGCATACAGTTAGCTGAAACCCTGAACATTATCAACATCTTTCATCCTATCTATTCACATTGTCATCCTTCTTTGCAAGATATCTCTGAATGCTTCCTAAATTCCCTCTGGAGATAATGACGTTAGTACAAAAGGTTTAGTATCTCATTTTACAGATTAATCTCCTAGGTACCTAAGAAGCCTAGTATTACTCTAATGTGGAAAGTACTAAGGTCTTTTTTGGTTGTTCCACCTAATAATAAGGTATTGTTCAACATATTTTTTAAATCTTCAACTTATTAATGCCCCTCAGATTAAATTGATCCTTGACAAGCAGAACCTTGCTTCCACATTTAGGGCTGTAGTGATACAGGAGAACTTGGCTGTTTTGGGGATGCCCCACTATGAATAGCTTCAAATACTGCAGCTCTAATGTCTGATGGCATGTATGTCTCATGACCTCTCCCCACTCTTTTCCTTCTGAATGCTTATTGAGTCTCTCTCTTGCACTACAGCAGCAAAAAAGAGCAGGCTATAGAAAAACCATTAGAACATGGACAATTATAATTCTTGATTGAGTTACTGGAATACCCTCTGTGGACACCTACTTTTAAATACAAAGGTCCAGAATCATAGCTGGCATGGTGAAATGCTAACTCGAGGTGCAACGGCTTTTGTGCACTGAATATATGCATAATATTATTAAAAGTCAGCATGAATCAGAAATCGTAACACATTTTCCATCCGTACCATGACATATTTCCAAATGAAACACAGTACAGAACTCTAAAGTTGTGCAATCATGCCCATATTAGGAACTCCATGTCTAAGCCACTTACTTTCAATGGGAAAACGGAATTGCGTTTTTAAAAATCGCTGCTGTGTGGTAAGCAAAAATGTTCCAAACATGAAACGTTTCACTGGATCCTCTAAATTACAAGGTCATTTAGCAGTCAAAATACAAATAATGCCACACGCATGCTACAAGCGCACTAGCACTCTTGTGTATTATTTTATTTGTTGTATGACAACAAATAAAAAAAATAAGTCTACTATTAAAATTCAGTACTATTACAGAACAACACTAGCTAATCAAACTGTGGGCTACTACTGCCAAAGCAACTCACCACATTCAAAATATCACATTCAACAAAGCTGGTTGCTTTGACAACCAGGTTTGTCAAAAGTGTTATTTAAGTTTCTTTGCCTATAGCAGCCCACAGTTTGAGTAGCTCGAGTTTTTCTAATAGTATTGAAATTTAACAGTATGGCATACCTTTGGTGACGCTTCCAGTCTGATGATGTGAATTCGATGCACAACAGTGTTAGGCTGCATGTAGGAATAGTGATGTACTGACTCTTTAATGACCCCCATAAGGATCCAGTGACATTCAGGGGGCAAAACATATTGGGTCTGGAACATTTGTGTTTACCACAGTGGGTGATAGCAGCGATTTTCGCCTTTCATTTTTCCCCTTAGAGAAAAACTGTTTAGATTCGGAATTCCTAATATAGGCATGATGCCGACCACAGAACGACGACCTGACTTCAGAGGTCTTTAGGAACAGTCTGAGCTAGCTGAGTGTTTTTTTGCTCAATGATGTACTCTTCAAAAAGATGGTTCTTCAATGGTTCTGTAGTAAAGACAATGATTCTATATAGCACCAAAAGGGTTCTTTTATTGTTACAAGCTTGACAAGTTTTTAAAATATTCTATACAGAAACATGTACAACACATTCTCCATCAATCTGCAGAACCTTGCACGATGCAAATAACCTGCTGCACATGGTTCTTTGAGTGTTCTTGGTTCTACCTAGAACCACTGTCTTTACTAAAGAACCCTTGAAGACCCATCTTTTTTAAGATTGTAGGTTTGGGTGGTGAGAGGGGGAGGGTAAACATGATATTAATGGTTAATATTATTTTTCCTGCCTGTTGGCGCATGGTGAAATGATCAAAAATGAGAGTTTGTTTTAGAGGCAGGTGAAAATCATGACATTTTGATGGAGGATTACAGGACAACAAGACTTTATAAAATTGTCTTTTAAATCAGTGATCCAGGCGGTCCAGACTTTGCTCCAACACAACTGGAAACACAGAGACAGAGCAAAAATATGGGGTCCTCCTGTTTTAAATGATATGATATGCTTGAATCATGCTTAATATGATCAGAGACATGAACTAACAAGATAAGAATTAGTCAGTCTTGATACACTCCTCACCAAGCATGCCCTGAAACATATTATACACAAGCATGGTCCTGAACCCTGGCCCTGGAGTACCCCCTGCCCTGCATATTCTAGGGTTTTCCCTGCTTGGAGAAACATAACCCAACTTATCAGCTAATTAACAAGCCCTTTCTGAGTCCTGGGTGTGAGGTAAAACTTAAACGTACTGCTATGTACTAAATGTACTCATATGTGAAATTAAAATACATCGACAAGCAAGTGAAACAGAGCACATACCTCCTTAAGACTGATTTTGGCAGTGTATATGATGTTGGAGCCATCCCTCTTGAAGTGCGGGTGCCCCTTGTCTTTGAGCACGAATGCGATGTCAGCTGGAATGTTCTCAGGCGTCTCGTCACCCTCCTTGGGGAAGGTGATCTTGGTCCCTTCTTTCCAGCCTCTCTTGATGACAATATTAAGGATCTTGTCTTCTGTCCGCATTGTCCTTCCATCTGGGTTGAGTCGGCGGCGAGTGATGCGCATGCGTTTGGTACATCCATGGTAGATCTCCTCAAGAGACACACGCAGCTCGTGCACCACAGGAGGGTCCTGGACCTTCCTTCTGCCACTGTGCAAAGGCTCGTTGCGGTGCCGTCTGCCATGATGAAAACCATTGATGCCATTGAAGCCAAAGTGGCTGAAGGAGCTGAAAGGGTCATCATCTCCATCCATGTCAATGTCCATGTCATGATCCCCATGGTCTGCAAAGCCGTTGCTGCTTCCCCTGTGACGTCCAGAGCCGAAAAAAATATCAAAGGGGTTAGAACCTCCAAAGAAAGAGGCAAAAGTGGCATGTGGGTCTCCATGGAAGGTGTAGTGATATGTAGTCCCCTGTCCACTTGATGAGCCAGATCCCCCAGTTTTGAGTCCTGAGAAAACAAATGAAATGAGTTAATACTTCAAATAGAATAAGAATCTCTTACTATCATTTACTAAAAATATCAAACAGGTTTCAGAACAGCTCCATTATAACTGTAAAACATCACTCATTCTAAAATATGCAGTACTGACAAAAGACACCAGGAGAACCTCTAATGCATGTCGAAATATGTAAAGTTTGCTTCACCCCAACAAGTCAGCCAAATTTCTTTCTCCTCTATCTATGTGTATTCTGCTTACTTTTATCTTTGTAGTTAATTTAAAGAGTTGAACAGAATCCATTTTGAGTGGTTATTCTACCCCTCAAGTTCTTCAAATACCCTTGTAAGCTTATTTTAATTAAGGTGGTCATTCTATGCTAAACCAGATGAGAGCTCTTCTCAGACTGTTCATCCAAAAATAAAGGTTTGGCAGTGTTATCCCTAGTCAACTTGCATAGTCTGCAAATGGGAAAGGCCAGTTCTATTCCTGCAGGGTTACTTTGTGCAGTTAATGACTTGTATGATAATGTAATCATTAGGGTTGCACAACGATATCGGAATCAGCATATATTTGTTTAAAAACATTGTTGGCATCAGACAGATGTTTATATTTAACCAACATTTCAAACCAATCTTTAATGATGTATTTATTGTACTGTAAAAGAGCTAAAAGTTTAGGTGACACTGGGCTACCATGTTAAAATATTTGCATATTACACATTTCACTGCATCTGTAGCTCTACAATTGAAAAATCTGCACTAGAACACAGAAACTGGACATCTGAGATGTGGAGTAAGGTTTTATGGATGGATGAGTCTAAATTTGTAATTGGGATTATTTGGATCAGAAGAAGTAGAAAATGCACCCAGTTTCTAAGACTAAACTTCGGAGATGTTGCAAAATATCCTGCAAATTTCCTTGAAAAACTGAAAGTGAGTCTCCCACAAAGAACAGAAGCAGTAATAAAGGCAAAGGATGGACAAACTAAATAAAGTATTGATTGTGGTTCTGTGTAATGTTATTGTGCTTTTTTCCAGAATAAAAACCTTATTACATACTTAATGATTGGAAATTAAATAAATGAAAGGGTAGTTTGTAATTTTTGGTCAGTAGTGTATGCAAATGATAAATCAGCATTGGCACACAATTCCTATATCGATGCATCCCTAGTAATTAATGAAAAATTGTTTGCCTGCAGGAAACTGCAGAATGCCTATACCAGCTCAGGGACATTTTCCTTGAATGAGAAAAAGACAGTACTTCTTCTGCGCTAACTACCTTGGGGGTTTACGAGTTTAAATTATTTTTTTCTGATGTGAACAGATTGATACATGAAACCTGGTACTACAAAACTTGGTTCTTGTTATGACACAAGGCTTCCGAAGGCCAGCCTCATCATATATTCAACATATCATCCTCGTACTAGATTGCTTGCAGAACAGTACCTTTGTCATGCCGATTAAAAAAATGAATATTCTCCCACTGAAATAGTCAAAAATAGGGCAAGGGCAATTACTGCTGGACTCACACGATTACATGACCTTACACCTGAAATGTCCATATGAATGCAGTTTAGACAGAAGCAAATCAAGTTTGCATCACAATTAAGCTCTACCTCTGTAAAGAGGAAAAAGCAGGGTCACCCAGCAATATAATGCTATATTAATGACAGACACTGCAAACCAACTGCAGCTGCCCACTGAGATGATAATTTCATGGGCAGTTTTTTAAGGACACCAGTTAGCAGGGGTGAGTTCATGACACGCAGTGAATTTAATTTCATTGCAACTGCTCACACTTCGCCATTTTGAAGTGTAAAGCTTGCCAGGCAGCCTGCCAAATGTGTCTCTCTTGCTCTCTTTCTGTATTTAGATACTGAAAGAAGACAACATAAATTCAGACAGATGGGTACAGTACACAGACATTCTCCTACACAAACAGCCCACCTCACTTCTATTCTTGCCCCTTCGCAAGCTTAACCCTTTATGCTGTAAGAACCTGTCTGCAGACTTCCATCCGTCACACTTTTAATGACATTCGGTACATAGAGGTTTCATAGTGGGAGTGGGCAATGTGACGATATTTAATCAGTATTGTGATGAATTACATCACAATATGCTTTTCTGAGCATGCTCTTTGTGGATTACCGTAAGTAATTAAAGAACACTGACTAACTGCATGTTTTATTACAAAGAGAGCACATTTAGAACAAAAATCACTGTACTAGTTTTTTTTGTAAAATGTCTTTGTAAAATGTGGCAATATTAGTGCTTTTTGTCTGTTGCAACTTATGTAATGTATGTAACTGAAATGAAAGGAAATTAAAGAAAAACTGCCTCATTCAATATGGATGATGGTCTGAACTAGGGTTCCTTCGGCAACGGGATCTAAACAGTGTTAAGCCATACTGTCACTGACAGGACACAAACCTTCTATTTCCAAGGCTTTTCATTTTATTTTTACATAATTTGCAACCTCTAACATCCCTTTACATTCTGTGATTCTTAAGGAATGACCCAATAGAAATGGTCCATAATTACTTGGGATTTTTGTTTTACAACAAAATGATTAAGTTAAGAAAGTTTTTTTCTCTTCTTTTAAAATTGTGATATTTAGTATTTTTTTTTATTTTTGCCATATGGCCCAAACCTATTTTATAGTATAATGACTAACAACTGAATAATAAGCCTAGAACTTACTGTTGCCGTGTGGAACATAAATGAAAGAACATGTAAAGGAAGTTAAAGGAAAATAGCTTCATCCAGTGCGGATGATGGACTGAACAAGGGTTCCCTCAGTAACATGATCTGAACAGGGTTAATACATGTCATTGCTGTTGGGACAAAACCATATATCTTACTTTTTTCACTAAAAATGTAAACACCTGCTGCCCCCTACATTGTGTGAAAATGACATAATAAATGGGCCAGTAGAAATGGTCCATAATTACTTGCAAAAAGTCTTTAACTTCCACTATAAATTAGGAATATTTTTTCCCTCTTCCTGTAAATTTCCTTTTTTCAAGATATAAGTTTTAAGTTTTGACATCGATAATATCTTCCTCAGAAGAGATTAAAGTACAGCTAAGTAGCATGTTTCGTCTTTAACAATTGGGATTACAAGTCTATTAAGACAGCACTGAAAGTTCCTCTGTAGAGTCCTGTAAAATTAACATCCATTTGCTAAGCTGGATGACTGATGGCTTGTAATAAAGGATAAAGGCACACCCTGCTGGGACTACGGCTGAGTCATCCAAGTTTGCATCTTCTCATATAAAATATAGGCCACTCTGAATACTTAATACGGCTTCGTCATTAAATATGCATCTTCCTCGCGCTTCGCGGATTACCTTGAAAACAGTCGTTAGCTCCTCTGGCCAAAACAAAAAATGAGAAACCATCATTAGAACTGCAAGTGGGTCATATGGGAATAACCATATTCCCATCTGTTTAGAAACAGACCTGGTGTTTTTAAGATGATATTTGACATTGGATGCATTCAGAACAGATTCTCAGCAGTGTGAATCTGACGGTTGACTTTTTAACTGATATGCAGAGTTGAAGGAGCTTCTGAGCCAGTGCTGGATCCTTGGAGAGCTATACCCTATCAAACTGCTGCTATGCACTATGTTACTTATTCTGTAGCTCTGTATCAAACTCTCAGTGCCTGAAGGATTTGCATGGCGTTATGGCTGGAGAGGTTTAAAGCAAGGCTGCCCTCAAAGAGAATCTGTTTCACTACGGTCAAATCTGCAAGCTGCAGCCACTACTTCTTGGAACGGTCTGTGGGCTTTCTGACAGTTTCGTGGAATCTGTAAAAAGGTATAGCATATAGGATCCTGTAGAAAAAACATCAAAGCATTCCTCACATATCCCTAACTCACAGCTCACATCTGAAAACCAAGAAAATGCAGATGTCTAAAGACAGATGAGTCATGCTGGCACGTGGCCTGTTATGTATATGGGTATGGAATCAGCTGAAATCCTTTTGTTGCCACAGACATATTTTGCTTTTCATTTTAAAACATTGGCATGTCTATCACTTCAGCATGAAGTGCCAGAGATCTCTAAGGAGCAATTGGATTGGCTTTAAATATGTGTACAGAGTGTAAAAATCAGCTGTGGAGTCACATGAAGAAGAAGATGATCCTTTTATGGACTGAGACATCATGTCTTGTGCTTATGTAAATACACTGCTGTGTTTTGGTCCATGAAACAGTGTGCAGACTCCTGTTAGTGCTCTGGATGTTCCATCCATTACATAGACAAAGATGTACAAACAACAGGGATATGGCATTTTAAAATGATGATTCAGTGAAAAATCTCATTTTCAATCTAATTTGATCTAAAAATCAAATTTATTCTCCCCCTTACCCAAAATGTAGCTGATGAGCCAAGATGCGTTTGGCGTCTGAAGTTTCCTTCTTTAGCTTTGCACTGGAGCTATGAGGCTAATGTACCTAACAAGTAATAGAGATCTATGTCACTGAAAAGACTTTTTGTTCAGTTACTTTTTAGCCTTTTTAGCTCCCGTGCAAAACTAAAGCAGTGAACTTCAGACACCAAACATATCTTGGGCTGATCGACTACATTTGAGGTAAACGAGAAGACTGTGCGAATTAGATTTCTTTCCACAGACCTATTCTTTTAAGCCACTGCAGATAGATATGCAGACCTAAAAGCACACTACCCAGTCCTAAACATCAAGTTCCAATGTTTAAATCGCTTTCAAGGTTTTAAGAATAACTATATTCCACAAAGACACTTAAAAACATGACTATAATTTAGAGTTGAACTACTTTTCTCATAGGACAGAAAACTAAAAAACATCTCTGTAGTTGCTCCTGGACAACAATAAGATCAGATAGAAAGACCAAGAATACTTCTGCTTAAGTCTCCTGCTGCTCAGATATTTCTCCAGAGCAAAAGACTACAGTAATCTCACAAGTGTGTCCTCTTCAGTTTTAGTACAGATCTCACTAAAGCCATACAGTGTGCTGAGATTTGCCAAGATAATAACGATCACATTCATCTGCAACTGAACTAAAGACAGGAACTCAACTATTTCTCATCCAAGACTAAGAGCCTTCACAGTTTTGATGCTGTGAACAACTATTATAATTTTTATCTGGTCCAGATTTATCTCCTTTTTGTCTAATGCTATTTACCAAGATTATAATGACTGCTGTCCTGAACAGAACATACTAGCTCTTATTCCACTTACCATCTTCTCCATACTGGTCATATATGACCCTCTTCTTTGGATCACTCAGGACTTCATATGCCTCTGCTATCTCTTTGAACTTTTCCTCAGCATTAGGATCCTTGTTTTTATCTGGATGGAATTTGAGAGCCATCCTCCTGTAGGCCTTTTTGATCTCGTCCTCATTGGCGCCAGACTGAATGCCCAGGATCTTGTAATAATCCTTTCCCATGGTGCTGACTGATAGCGTCCTTCCGGAACCACCCTTTCTTTCTGGGAGACAATGGAGAACATAGGTTAGCCTTACACCAAAGAAAGCCCATGCTGAACATGAATGACTGACAGCTAAGCAGACTATTCAAAAGAGAGCCATTATCTGGGGAAAGAAAAGACATGGTTACACCACTAACGATGAAATGAAGTGCTTGAATAAATTATAAGAATAAAAACATGCCGGTGACTAAACAGCAAAGTAAATTTAGAGAGCAATTTCAGAACATACAAGATGACAATGTGGATAAAGAAGTGTGGGTTAAATTAGACTGCGGTGAATACTGCAGCTTTGGATTAGGAAGTGAGCAACTATTTGACAGTATCCCTCTATCTTGAACAGCAATGACAGCTTCAGCGTCATGGAAATGAGTGGATACAATTGTCTTTTATGCATAAACTTTAGCAGTATTGGCTTTGTGGAAATTTATTAGCTTAGTGTAGTAAAACTGATTATTTTGTTGGTTATTTTTAAAAATGTGTCAGAATCTGTAAAGCACAGAATACCAACTATTTCTGGGTGAGGATTTTCAGAGAGCAGAGGCAGGGGACTCCAGGCCTGGAGGGCCAGATTCTTGCACAGTTTGGTGATTTTCATGATTGAACTCACTGCCAGCTTTAGTTAGAGTGTCAGAGCAGGAAAAACACCTAGCTGTGCTAGACTTCAGCCCTCAAGTGAGGCTTGTGAGTCTGGCTTTGAGCTAAAAGGCATACAGCAAGATGAAAAAACTAGAAATTAATTGTGATGGAAAAGCAAGCCAAGGAGAACCATTACTGAGCAATTGGCCATCACATAATCAACAGTATGGAGCAACTTGAAATAGAAAATCCTGGAGGAGAAAGCAATTTGCAATGGCCAACTCATTCAAAGAAAGGCTACAGCAGCAGACGAGTTCCAGGGGACTTCTTCAATATCGTTTCATGGACAAATGATGTGAAGATAAACCAGATCAAAATGGAAACAGAATAGTGTTGGGAAAGACAGGGTTTATATATCTTCTCAAATTTCTTCGTAACTCAATGGCTGAGATGTAAACTAAGTCATTCAGTGTTTTGATGTGAAATAAGAAACTTACCGACCCAGATTTCTTTTCAGTGGTGCTGATGGGAACCAGGGGTTGCAATTCTACAATGCAAATATAGCCATTTTATTTACTACCCAAAACCACCAGTGAACCTACATGTGTCTTGAGTTTTATATTAAATGTTGATCATGGTAAGATAGTGGTAGTGGTTCCTATCACCACTGCTGTAAACAATTCTGACTCTAAGTTTCTCTAAAATTAAGTATTTTACATCAAACCACTCTGAAAAACTTTGCTTACATCTTAACAAATGAACTGGAAATCTGTGGAATTCCCCTTTAAGCGCACAAGGCCGTATTGTATCCTGGGTGTGTACAGCAGCGTTTGGAACTGGCTAGCTGATCTTCAATGATTATGCAAAAATGATGATGGTACTAGCAGTACTAAATGGTATGGTACTAAAAACATCTATTCAACATGACCATAAAAATGCCTCCAAACCCATCAGGCAGAAAAACTGGTGCACACTGAACCAAGTGTGAAGGGAAGTAGATTATATCCCACAATCAAATCTGAATCTCTTTACAACAGAACATTTTCCTTAAGAATATATTTCTTACACCTAGGAATAATAGCTCTTTGTCTTTTGTGTCTCCGTGAGGCTTGTTATGTTCTTTGAGAAGGACGTTGTGACATGAGATAAGGACTTGTTCTTGCCCAACTCTTGTTGATCCTACCAGAAATGGCAGCAGCTGATGGTACAGGAGTTGGAACTGGGTTTTTCCATCATCATATAACTGGATGAAAGGTGACCTTCATGAACTTTGATCCTTCAAGGCCTTGAGTCTCACTGAGATGCTCATGATTGACACTGTCTTTGTTGACTAAATCTTACCAATGACACTGTGTTTAGTTATGTTTCTGAACCAATCCAAGCAAGTGATGATGGTATTGTAAGTTTTAATTTGTAATGATGAATCAGTAATTGTATATGATATTAATATTAATTGTCTATTTTACATAGAATTTGCACAAAGCTATAACTGCTTTGGCCAAGTCTATGTTAGATGGGGAAGACGTGTCAGTGCTCTCAACTGACCAAGTCTCCTGTAGTTGAACATTCATTTCAGTTGTTAAATAGAAAATCAGACAGGAATCTGAAGTAATAAAAATCCAAACAGCTGAAGGAGGCTGGAGTTGAGGCTTGGCAGAGCATCTCCAAAGACTACATGAAAAGATGCCAGTATGTCCTATACTTAAAACAGCTATTAAATCTAAGAGGAATCCAACTAAATACTAACTTTACATAAATATAGTTGGCTTTAATCCCTTAAATGGCCAGGACCTGCTGGTGGCTCCAAGCTTCTATTTCTTACTGCTATAAATTAAGAATATCTTGCATTACTTTCCATGTAGGCTAGTTACTGAATAATCAGTCTAGGATTTTAAGGGGTCAAATGTATTTGTCCCAGTATTTATGCTAAACTGTATGAACTTGTATGAAAAATTATGATTAATAATACAAAAGCTGCCATTTTATTCAGCTTTACGTTCATCTTTTAATGTGAAGTACAAATGCCATGAACATGGAACAAATTGACAATTTTTACTGTGCCAATATTTATGCTTCTTACTCAGTCAATCTCAGTCATCATTTTTCAAACAAGTTTATTTCACCATATGTGCTACCTGTAGCCTAAATAGAAGTGATCTCATCATTCAATGTGTTTTAATTTCAAGCTGCCAGTCTAAACTGGAAACTAGGTTACTCAGAATCTCTCCCCAAATGGGGCTGTTGCTCAAACCACTGGTCCTCCTTAAAGGGGAACTACACCCATTTTTAAAATTTCTGTATGATTAAATGGCTAACATTTTAACAAAGTCATTCAGAGTGGTGTGGCGTGAAATGCTTTGTTCTAGAGAAGCGTACCAAGTCAGAATTGTTCACAGTGGTGGTGATAGGAACCAGACGTCTAAGGAGTATAGTGCCTCTAAAAGCTCCCTCACATAAAGATATTACATGAAATGTTTATGGATACACTTCCTAACTTTGAGACATTGTTCACAGTAGCCTTGTGATTAAAAACTAATTTTATTCAATTTATTTTAATCCATACATGGTGGAAGGATACATTAAGTGTTCGAAGGCAAAATAGTCCCCAAAGAAAACATATTTTCCACTATTTTACCATCATCAACATTACATATAAAAACTCAGAAGACTCGTGTAGGTTCACTGGTGGTTTTGGATAGTAAATGAAATGGCTGTATTTGCAATGTACACATCGGTGACCCCTGGTTCCCATTACTACCACTAAAAAGAAATCTGAGTTGGTAAGTTTCTCTACAAATGAACCGAACCACTCTGATTGACTTTTGTTTACATCTCAACCACTGAATTATACAGCAATTTTGAAAAATCGGTGGAGTTCCCCTGTAACGCTCTCAGAGTGTGACTAAAGCTCAACAAAACCGACTGCAATACATTTTCTGTAGTAGACGCTTTGCTACGAATGATGAACTCGTTTCTGAATGTTTAATGAACTCCACAGAAAAGAATTAGGGCCTAGAAAACCCTCTGAAGTTACCTTCTTAATCGAATGTTCCGTTCCACCTTAAACGGTGCAGCAGTTACTGCCAGGCGCCTGTACAGGCACACCACTTAAAGGGGAAATCCACCAGTTTCAGTCATTGGACTGTTTGAGGTAAAAATGGTTCACTGTTGAGAAACTTACAGACTCAGATTTCTGTACAGTGGTGCTGATAGGAACCAGGGGTCACAATGTCTACAACAAAAATATAGCCATGAGTGGATTAAAATAAATGGATTAAAGTCCATTTTAAACAAAAACTTTATCACAAAGCTGTTCTAAAACAATGTGTCAGACATCAGGCCGCATATATATAACCATTTCATGTAATAGCTTTCTGTGAGGAGGATTTCAGAGGCATTAAATCTTCAGACGTCTGGTTCCTATCACCACCAAATCACTCTGTCTGGCTTACATCCATTTAATTACGTAATTTTCTTTAAATCGGTGGAGTTCCCCTTTGACTGCTACTCCATTTAAGGTGGAACGGAACATTCGATTAAGAGGCTGGCGAATGGGAAGCTAAACCCAGCCTCAGCCTCGTGATGCTCTGCAGAACGGAGCCGGTTTGCCGCAGCCAGCGCTGTTTTTCCCACCTCACTCTCCTCCACTGCTGCACTTAATGATGTCATGGCGAGCAGTAATGTTGATAAAAAATAAATATTAGAGGGGAATTCGCTCGGTGACATCGAAATGTCTGACGTCACGGTCGCCTAAAACAGAGACTACGGTGGTCTCCTGGCATTCCGCCCTATACATGAGTATATATAGCTATATATTCACCCACAGTGTCGTTATGACAAAGGATTCCCCCCACAGCAGCGGAGAAGACGGATACAACACAGTCGGTCAGTCTCGAGAGAGAAAAGGGGAATGATGGAGTTGTACACTGTGAACCTTTCCTCAGTATATACAGCAAAAAGCTCGAAAACCAGATTTCAAAAATGTCAGCACAGCCTTCTTAAAGTCACCGCCCGCCGTTATCGATAGTCTAGATAAAACACCGCCTGTAATAATAGCTGAAGCTGTAATAATAGCTGAAGTGTTAATAGTCGCCCCCGCCTCGCACCGCAGCCTGGAACACAATTAGAGCAGACTTAACATATTTCAGTCAGTCAGCGACATGAAGTTACTAACTTGTGTCCAGTGTCTCCAGAAGCTCATTATATTCATAATGTCGCTGAATTCTCTGAAAAAAAGGTCAATGTGTCCGTTCAAACCGACTGGAAGTAAACAGAGCTCAGTAAAACGGACCGGGGTCGCCTAAATATCGACGAGTTAATTTGAATGAAATTCGAAGTGTCAACTGAAAAGGGGCTACAAGAAAGATATAGCCTACCTGAAACCTCACCCTCAGGACCAAAACACCACTTACTACACGCACCTCATGTTTCAGAACGAGGGGCTTCCAGGCAAAAATGTGTCCAAACCCACTGGTTAGCATTCATATTGCTACTGTAGAGGAATCTATAAGCTTACCGTGTCTGAGTTTCTCCCCGCTGACTGGCGCTTGCAGTTTGCCTGCCGTCCAGCTCCACTCACTTGGCCCCGCCCACTGAGCGTCCCAGGCCCCGCCCCCAAATCTCGGGGCATGTCATATTTAATCGAGGGGTGCTGAGTACAGCCAGAAGAAGCCCAGAGATCCCCCCATGCAGAGGCTGTAAAAGTGAAGTCTGATATCTCGTTATGTACACACGTAAAAAGGATGGAGAATGTGTTGTATGTGTTTCTACATTGCACCATATATTGTTACAATGCCATGCTTGTAAAAATACAATAACCCTTTTTGGTGCATTAGAACCATATACAACACATTCCCCATCAATCTGAAGAATTATTTCACCATGCAGAGAACCGTTTAAGCATAAAATGGTTCTATACAGACCATATAACCATTGCTTTTACTAAAGAACCCTTGAAGAACCATCTTTTTTAAGTGTATGTATGTATATGTATATATATATATATATATATATATATATATATATATATATATATATATATGCAGTTTTAGTGCACATAACACTAACCCTGACTTTCATTCATTTCCTTCATTTCCTCACAAAGCTGAATGAAGGTTTTTAGTGACAAACATGGCTATGCTTCCTGGCTCTTCTACCCACTGTATAGTGCAGTCAAGGAAACCCTGTGGCGAGGAGGAAATGAAGACAAATTTGGTTGGGTTCGATTATCTTCCACGTCACAGGGATCACTGCAGAGAGGAAGAAGGGAATACAAAGGAACAAAGAGTACCACAGAGATTGTAGCTTCTTTGAGGAGATTTCTTCCAGACTAAAGTGACATGACTTTACAAAACTCTGTCACTATTAAACCAACGATATTCTCACAGCATCAATATCTCATATGCACAAAGACAGATAGAATGAGCTAGAAGCATTATTTTCAAATAGAAAGCAATGATCGATTACGTATCAACTGTTTAACCTATGAACATTTTTAAAATGAAGTGCCATAATTTGGGATGTTACCATGCTACAATACATAAGGGTAACAAATGAAATAAAACCCAACATGAAGTGTCTTAGAAAGGTGTCTGACCACCATGAGCTACCAGAACAGCTTTATTGCACTTTGGCATAGGATCTACAAGCCTTTGGAACTGTACTGAGGATGAAACACTGTTCTTTTAAAAGATATTCCCTCAACTGGTGTTTTGATGAAGGTGGTGGAGAGCACTGTATAACACGTGGGTCCCAAATCTCCCAAAGTTGCTAAGTTGGGTTGAAATCTGGTGACAGTGAAGGCCATACAATATGATCACATCATTTTTATACTCATCAAACCATTCAGTGACCCCTTCTGTCTGGTGAAGGGGGCATTGTCATCTTAGAAGAGACCACTCTTCGTAGAGACCTCAAAACGCTTTGTCATAGGATGTTTTTCTTTATTGATAGATCTAAAAACACTGTGCTCATGGTTCCTATTGAAACACTAGCTAGTTGAGCCGTCTTTGTGACTGCCATCTTGTTCCAAAATTATGGTCAACTGGGCCTGTTCAGTATTTTCAAACATGCCACAGAGCATGATAAGATGTTAACTGCTTAACAGTGCACAAAATTCCCATTTTGGCTGACTACTCCAGCATTAGCTAGCTGCTAACTCACTCACCACAGCGCACTGATGCCTCAATTGCAAGAAAATGTTTGTTTTAACAATTCTTCTTCTGGAAATGCTCTTTTCTAGTTTGGTAATGCGCTCTTCCACACATTAACTGCAATCTTGCATTTTTCCTCTTTTGTCCTCAGGTTGAGAAATGTGTAGCAGCTCTTTACACTAAACTCTTTAGAAATTGGGTACGTTTTCAAATTTATAGATATGTGCATCTGCTATAGCGCCACCCTGAGGCAGACCAGTGCTGCAGCTCTTGTTAGTTAAGAATACCAAAGATAGAGGCTCGCTGGTTGTGGGTGAAGCAGCTAAATAATGAGCTTTCCCTGAATTTGTATTTGAGCATCTGTTTTACCCAAATGGGTTACATAACATTATAATGAGCTTTTTTTCAGGGACCCCCCAGAAGTTTCATTTTGAGACACTGAGGGGTTATTTAGTAGGTCCTGGACTACCCCAGGATCCCATGTATTTCACACATTGATTGTCCAATGTAGTACACCTGTCTGGAAGTTTTTTCTTTGTCACACTTGTCTACATGCGAATATTGCACTCTATGTTAGTAGAGATCACAACATTTGCAAAGCCACAATGTGTTTTGAAGTCAGTATGACTGTAGATGTTTTGTGTAAACATACAGTATCTAATGGCAATAGCAAATGAAGCTCTGAACATCTGCTGTGGTCCTTCATTTAAATGGGCTTAATCACAGTCCTATTTGGCACAGTGTGGTAGGAAACTTATCCAGACCAATGTACAGTAAGTATGATATCACCATAGCAGCAGTTTGCCAACAGAGGGACTTGGGGAACATTAGAAGTGAGACAAATTGGACTAAAGCATGAAGCCTGTATTGTTTTTGCAGACTTCTCAAGTGTCCACCAAAGATTAGGCTATTTTAACCACACAAGATTTAGTGTCCAGATTACCATGTATGACCTCTCCATATGTTGAACCTTTTCAATTAGTAATTGTAGCTAACTTTGCTTGGTCCCATGATCATGTCAGGGTGACTGGTAACTTTAAACCGTAATCCTTGTTGTCGTGAGACTCCTGTGAGGTTACAGTCTGACTCCAGTACTTTGCATAGGTTTAAAGTCTACACAAACTCTGTTCCTGCCCAGATCCCTATTCGAGGTATAGAAAGAAATAATGATTTAATTGTCTCAAGACTTAATACATCAGAATTATGACAGTCAAACCCCTTAAAATCTAGGCTTATTACATACTAAGGCTAATTATTCAGTAACTACAGGGACTTCAATCTTATTGAAGTGTGTAATAAAGCTTTAGGCCTGTCAGCTTCCTCTGGATTCTGAAGGTGTTAATACTCACCAAAAACTATATTTATTATATGAAATGATGAAATCTGCTCCTTAATCTGAAGCTTTAAAATAAGTTATTTTTAATTGAAGCACTTCACTTAAAGGGGAATTCCACATTTTTTTTTTAGATTTCTGCCTAGTTAAATGGTTGAGATGTAATCAAAGCCATCCAGAGTGGTTTGTTCCATCCTGGAGACACTTACCGAGTCAGATTTGTTCACAGAGGGGTGATAGGAACCAGATGTCTAAAGTGTTTAATGTCTTTAAAGGGTTCCTTATAGAAAGCATTTAAGTGAACTGGTTATAAATGCGCTGCCTGATGTCTGAGACATTGTTTTCCGATGGTTTTGGGATCAGCTTTTGGCTTGATATATATATATATAATATTTTAGACATTGACATTGTGACCTCTGGTTCCTATCATCACCATTGTAAAGAAATCTGAGTCTGTAAGATTCTATACAATGAACCATTCACATCAAACCACTCTGAATAACTTTGTTTACATCTCAATAGTATAATTAATTATTCAGAGATTTTGAAGAATCATTGGAATTTCTCTTCAAGACAAACATCTAAAAGGAGGCAATCATGCTACTCCAGCTAGTA